TTGGCTTGGATTCCAGGGCATTCTGATATTAAGGGCAATTGTGTTGCAGACAAATTGGCAAACATAGGAAGATCACTAAAAATGCCAGCCAAAGTTAAATTGCATTATTCAAACTACTTATTTTATATTAAAAAGCTAATTTGGACTCTATGGGCACAAGAATGGAATTCAAATAGATCAAAAGGGTCGTTTTATAGAAAAATAGTCAATACATGGAACAAATCACCATGGTTCAATCAATTTCCTTATAAAGACAGAAGGCATATCACCACAGTAATTAGAATGAGAACAGGACATTGTTCCACTCCCGTTCATTTATTCCGCATAGGTATTAAGGACAACCCGTACTGTGAATGTGGTCAAATTGGATCTCTGAATCATATTATCCTAGAGTGTCCAATAAACGTTTCTCCAAATTTTGACCTCTACAAAGAATTGGTTAAAACAAAACTACAAACTCCTATAGAGATATGCTCTTTCCTATCCAATCTTAATCCTCAAAGACTAAATTTATTGATTACTTTTCTTAATCTAGCCAAAGTCAATCTATAATTATATATTCCTATCTTATCTACTATAACACAAACTTACAAATTATTCTCTTTTTCCACCTGGGTTCTCTATCATCTGTTGGTAGAAAAAAAGAAAAAAGAGGAACTTGGATAGTCCACAGTAAAGTAGCTATTGAATTAAGTAGATAGCTGCAGAAGAGTTTGCTGTGGAACTCTGAGGACCTCATCAAAAAAGACTATGCAGAAAAAGACTGGTTGTTCCTCCAAGCGAGAAAAGTTTTATCCTGTGTTGAATAGACTTTCCTATACTAACTGTTTGGCCCAAGAAGAAGAAGTTTCGACTAGTGAATTCGTAGTTTTCGAATAGTGTTCATTCAATATAAAATAATTTCAATTTAGTGTTAGCTGGGCAAATTATCCCCTGAGATATTACCCAATAAAGGAAGAAGAAGAAGAAGAAGAAGATCATTGTCATTCTAGGTTAGTATTTTCAGACATTTTACCTACAGTGAAAATTAAATTTTGTGTTTATTGTCATAAAAATATTTAAATGTTAGAGATATACTGAGAATGAACAAAGACTAATATTAAAATTATTAAATTATTTTCAATTAGAAAAAGAGGCTGAGACAACTTTATTACCAGTTTCTGTCGTTTGCAAATCAGATTGTGAATTATATTGAGGAAATATCTTAAACCAATACCGTTATGAATATTTTTATGTATTAAAACGGTTCTTTTTAAAACCACGACATTTTCTTGAAATTTAAGATATAATTGATACCAGCCACATATCTACTGTAATCATTGATTTTATTGAATCAAATTCTATATCGGATTGTGGATTGTTTGAAATATAGTATTCATTTTTGTTATGTATAAAAAAGAAGGCAAACTTACATTCGGTATTTTGTTTTTTAAGTAAACTCCATTAATACTATTTCATCTGAATACCGGAACTGGTAGATTAACTCAAAAATCAACTGCTTCACTATTTAAACTATTTACATTGTTTTTTTAACTTAACATTATAACACTATTTCATTTGCACACCAAATCTGGTAGAATAACTCAAAAATCAACTGCTTCAGTATTTAAACTATTTCCACTATTTAATGACAAATATTCACAAAATTAAACTATTGACTGCCACAGAAACATCGGAAAATTACTTATCCAAATATGACTGATTCCAATCGATGTTATTTTATCACAGGAATGTTTACTTTGATGCCTTGCAATTGCCAGTAAATTTTTTTATCTCGCAACTCTTAAAATATTCTAGGAGGAAGTGTAAGTTTTAATAAACAAACATTCCAATTCCATAGTGTTTGTAATAAATAATAATAAATCCATAAACAAATCTTAGCTAATTAAGCACTTTCCTTGGAATGTATAGAATAGGAATTATGACAAACTGACGTTCCAATATAATGCGCAATAAAAATTTTTATACAGGACGGGACCTCTAATATGTAAATTAAATAAAAATTTGAATTTTTGAAGTTTTTACTCCACATTTAAAAAAAAATAACCTTTTCACATTTAGCTGATTACGATCCTGTAACTGTCAGATTTAACTAAAACATCATGCAATAATTCCCGACATTCTTAAAATCCTATCTGACATCATTTTATGTATTATTAACAGGTCTTGAGTGTCATAGTCTATCACGTCCATTATCGAATCCATTATTGAATTGAATTGAATTTGTTATCGAATAGAAACGAGTCGATTATTGAATCGAATCGATTACCAAATCGATTATCTTATCGATTATAGAATAGAATCGATTATAGAAGTGAATCGATTTTTGAGAATCAAATCGAATCGATTATCGAATCGAATCGAAATATAAAAAATGGAATAAAATAAAATAAGTATAGTAAAATGTAATGAAATACAATAAAATAGAACAAAGTGCAATAAATAAAATACAATCGAATCGAATCGATTATCGAATAGAATCGATTATTGAGTTGGGTATTGAATCAAATGGATTATCAAATTTAATTGAATCAAGTATCGAATCGATTATCGAATGGAATCAATTATCAAATCGATTATTGAATCAAATTGATTATTGAATCGATTATCGTATCAAATCGATTACCGGATCAAATGGAAATAAAAATAGAATAAATTAAAACAAATAAATTAATGTACATAAATTAAGATCATCGCTCCTTGCTTAGACGACAAAAAAGCTATGCTTAAAGACTTAAAAAATAAGGAAAAATTATCTTATTGTATGATACCAGCTCATATATTAACTTTTCTGGGAAGCTGAGTGTAAGCCTCTTAGGAAACATTGGGAGTGAAGAATTTTAACAATATATTTGATATATTGTGAAAAATTAAATAGGTCTGAGAATCTGATTGACCATCTTAGTACTAAATTCATAAAATTTGAGGAAATACTTTGTTAGCAACAGTTGGTCCATTTTTAGAACAATCAACTTGATATTTTTCATCAATTCATAAATAGTGATAAGAAAACAAAATAAAGAGTAAGTTGATCCATGCTGTTCAACTCTAAAGCAATCGAAGAAGTTTAGAAGGGTTATGGCATTGATAATTTTTTGATAGATTTTTGATAGATTACTTCAATTACTTCACAAAGAGAATGTCTTGAAAACGGTATTCCACAGGGCTCAATCTTAAGCCTAAGTCTATTTTTAACAGCAATTAATAATATCGCTCAAGAAATAGAAGACGCTTCAAGAATCGTTAAAAGCAGATCTGTCTGCAGGTTACTTATATACTAGTAGCCGCAATATTACACTAGCCTCAAAAATGTTGCAATCATTTCTGCATAAACTAGAAGACTGGTCCCAAAAAACTGGTTTTTCGTTCTCAGGTGATAAATCTCATTTCATCGTATTTAATAAAAGAAAAACTGATTGCAAAACAACACTTACTCTAAATGCTATCAACCTAAAAAAAGTAGTGAGCATTGACTTTCAGAACGTAGCAGAAGAGATCAGAACATATTAAAAAGCTAGTCGTATCCTGCCAATCTAAAATAAATCTTCTTAAAATGCTCTCAAATTGATCTTGGGAAACCGATACCATAAAATCGCTACATATATACCAATCATTAATCCGAAGTAAACTGGATTATGGTGCAATATGCTATTCAACTGCGAGTTATTATATTCTTAAAAAACTAGACATTATACAAAACACATGTTTAAGTCTTATTCTGGGTGCTTACCGAACTAGTTCTGTTTCAAGTTTTCAGCAATAAGAAGACACATTTCTTTAAATTATGCCGCGAGATTGTCTTCCAACCCTAGTAACACAAACTATTGCCAACAACAAATTAAATATCCACCCCTTAAAGAACGTTTAACGAGATATGGTTTTGACATGGAGCAGCTAACACATTCTTACCCTACACAGCGAACTATACCTCCCTTAACTATGAATTTTTCCACTATTGATATATCCCTCACAGCCTATCCAAAGAGTACCACAAATCCCATAATCGTGAACAAATTATATCAAGAACGGATATCAGAATACATTGGCCACGGGAGAAGCAATCGCCATTTTACAGGCACTAGACATGTGTGAGAGTCATGCAAGCTCAAATTTTCTTATCAGTACTGACTCTTTATCTGTTCTTCAGAGCTTAAGGCAAATATATCAAGTACATGCTATCCTGCAATAAATAGAATTAGCACTTTATCACCTACAAAACAGACACGTGAACATTAAATTTCTCTGGGTACCATCGTATACACGTATCGCAGGAAATGAAAAAGTAGATGAATTAGTAAAGAAAGCTGCTACTAACGGAAAAACTAAAATTAGCTCAATATTAAACAGCACTGTGTAAAAAATTGGCAACAAATGTGGAATTCTAATAAGGCTAACCTTAAAAACGTTAAAACTAGGATCGGAACTAAACTACAATTTCCAGAAAACAGAAGGCAACAGGTGATTATAAACCGATTAAGAATTCGACATACAGCGTTAACTCACCAGCATCTCATAACAAAAGAATTACCACCTGAATGTTCCTATTGTGAATGTTTAATAACGATTCAACATATATTGATTGAATGTCCTCTTTATTCATACGAAAGAGCCATCAACAACGTACCAGAAGAAGCAAAGAAACTTAAAGATATTTTAAACTGTAATAATATATCAAATACAATGAAATTCCTTAAGGACATACGTTTACTACACAAAACTTAAGTTGTATTATATGCATAATTTTATTTGTAATATATTGTATATTTATTATTTGTAATTTAATACAAAGTTTGTAATTAGTATATTTAATAACAACTGTAAAATCTGTAAAACCCGCAAATAACCTTTAGTGGTTGATGCAGAAATTCTAAATAAAAAAAATATGGCTGCATTTCGATTTTGTTGGATTTATTTAGCCAAACCCTTAATAAAAAAAATATGTATATCTACATATTTCGCAAACCTGATAAACAATAACTTTAAAAATAAACGATACATACCAAGGCAAGCTTCAGTATAAAGCATAAACTTTTCTGGATATTCCTCATTTATTTCATTTAACATATAGGCATTTGTCTCGTTGTCAAAATACCAGTGTATTGCAAAACCGTCAATAAATTCCCTGTTTTCTGGTTCTGCCATAATCTGTAAATGTATTATAATTAGTCATTCATTGTAAATTATTAAGTAATTTTTTTTATTCTTATTTGCGTACCTATCATTTAATTGCTAGTTTTGTTTTATATGCATACACAGTTAATCCATTGAAAAATGGACTTTATGGAAATGGAAAAATGGTTAGTTCTTATATTTTCTATATATGGTAACTTAAATGGTATGTGATATATTTAAATATATATTTTACTTGATTATTTTATGTTTTGATATAGCTATGATAACTTAACTTAATCCAATAAACTTTCCCAAGAAAGAGTCATGGAAATAACTGATAAATACAATGGCCCAGAGTACGAGAGCTCCTTAAATATAGAACATTTAAGGGTGCTAAAAATTTTTCGATCAGATAGAAGCCTGAATACATTATACAATGAAAATAAAAGTACGTACATGGAATGTAAGAAGCATGTACAAACAAGGAAAGGTTCACAACATTATAAAAGGAATAAAGCGCCTAAATAAAAGTATACTTGGAATAAGTGAAACGAGATTGCCAGACTCTGATAAGGTAACTACAGACGATCACATTGTATACTATTCAGGAGAAAACATTCTAAAACACAACAATGGTATAGCAATAATTGTAACAAAGGAAACAGATAAAGGTGTAAAATCTTAATTTACAAAAAGTATTAGCATCTACAAAGAAACACGAGCTCAATATTAGGTATACGGACATTTTATTGCGAAGATTAGCGAAGGAAATCAGGAAGATTCTTCGTATGGTGCCTATCCGTTACGGATGTTGGACACTAACATGGCTGTTCTGACTTTGTTGACTGCTGCCCTGAAAAGTCCGGTAGTGGTTAAGTTAAACCACTTTCGCAGGTTATGCAGTCAGAATATTCTTCTCCGTCCTGGACCTCTTTTCCTTGCACTTTACCTTGAAGTTTGTTCCGAAGTAGGTCATATCGTTGTTCATTGCACATTATACGACCCAGGTATTCTAGTTTGCGACGTTTTATGGTTACGACTAGTTCGCGCTCTTTACCCATTCTATGAAGTACTTCTTCGTTGGTAATTCTGTCTATCCAGGAAATCCTCAACATGCGTCTATAGCATCATATCTCAAATGCTTCGAGTTTTTTCAGTGATGCTTCAGTTAAGGTCCATGACTCTACGCCATATAAAAGAACAAAAAATACGTAGCATTTTAGTAAACGAAATTTTATTTCCAATTTTATGTCGTGGCTGTTAAAGATTTTTTTCATTTTGACGAAAGCTGCTCTTGCCTTCTCGATCCTTATCTTAATTTCCGTCGATTGGTCTCGCTGTTCATTTAAGTTTGCACCCAGAAGGAACAGAAAGATATCATAGAAAAATAGTTTCTGGGAATACGAAATAAAAGAAGAGATATATTGGCATCTTTTTGTATAGAAAAGGAATTAGAAATAATAAACACAGTTTTTAAACTTCCAGAGTCCAAACCAAATAGACTTTATATATAAAAATAAAAGATACAGAAATGCAGTATTACTTGTCAAAACATATAAAGGTGCAGATGTACTAATAGATCACAATCTTCTGGTAGGAAAAATAAAAATTACAAGGACTAATAATCAAACAGTTACTATTGATATAGAAAATATGTCAAATGACACCGTAAAACAAGAACTAATCAGTGTATTTAAACAAACATAAAATTAAAATAAAGTAAAGATGAAAGCTCTAAGGAAAACTGGATAAGAATTAAAGATATATTAAAAACCGTCAAAGAAACAAAATTATGTGTAGCAAATATACGAAAAAACAAGGCCGTATGCCGGAAGGAATACTGAGACTCATAGACCAAAGAAAAGAAATCAGAAATAAAGAAAAAAACGAATACAAGACGATCCACACAATAATCAGGCAGAAGATAAGACATGCAAAAACATAATTTTATGGCAAAGAATCTAATGAAATTCAACACTATGAAAAGAAACAGAATAAATTTCATCTGCACAAGAAATTAAAAGAGATCGCCGGAAACAAATGAAAAAAACTATCCCAAAGTTTAGAAGACAAAACAGACATAGAATATTATATGCCAATCAATGAACAGTGAAAAAAATCGAAAAACTATTTAACGATAAACTATATAGAAAGATATTACAAACTGATTGGCTTAAGTTGGCATTTGTTACAATACCAAAAAAACATAATGCAAAGAGATGCAGTGATTATAAGACAATAGGTCTGATTTGAAGAGAGTCCCGTTTTGAAGATCTTCCTGCTAGTAATACATGGCAGAATGTACACGATATTAGAAGAGAGAATTAGCAATCTCATTACTCAAGCTACTCCTCAATTTGGATTTAGGAGTGGCTTGGGTTCGAGATAAGCCTTGTTCAGTATCCAAGTTCTGATCCAGAGAAACAGAGGTATAAATCAAAATGTATACATTAGTACATTTTCAAATCAATCGATTTTGAAAAACCTTTTGACAAGATATGACATAAGAAAATGCTAGAATTATTAAAAGCAGCTGTATTGGAGATAAATCATCATCATCATTACTGGCTCGACAACCCTTTTTGGGTCTTGGCCTGTTCAAGGATTCTTCTCCATTCTGACCTGTTTCGTGCTTTTTTCTTCCAGTTCTTTATTTTTAATGTTGTTATATCATTTTTTATTTGTTCTACGTATCTCAGCTTCGGTCTTCCTCTTGTTCTTTTTCCTACTGGCACTTGTTTGAATATTTTGTTTGGTATTTCGCCTTCTTCCATTCTTTCCACATGTCCAATCCAACGTAGCCTTCCTATTTTAATGAATGTTATGATATCCGGATCCTGGTATATGTTGTATAGCTCACAGTTATACCTTCTCCGCCAAATCCCGTTTTCTTTTGTGCCCTTATATATGTGTCGTAAGATTTTTCTTTCAAAGGTGGCTAATAACGTTTCCTCCCTTTTAGAGAGTGTCCAGGTTTCTGAACCGTATGTGAGTACCGGTCTTATTAAGGTTTTGTATATTTGGCATTTTGTTTTTCTGGAGACGTTATCTGATCTTAGTTGCCTAATTAAGCCATGGTAACATTTATTGGCAATAAATATTCTTCTCTTCACTTCCTCTGCAACGTTGTTATCAGACGTAACTAGGGATCCTAAGTATGTAAAGTTTTTTACCGCCTCAATGTTGTTTTCTCCTATTGTTAAATTTGGCAGCTGCCTTATTGGTGCGTTTTTATTTGCAGGCATATATTTTGTTTTTGTCTGATTGATTTTAAGACCACTATTTTTTGCAGCTCGTTCTATTTGAGTGAATGGCTCTATCATTTCTCTTCTTGATCTTGCGATTATGTCAACATCATCTGCAAATGCTAGTACTTGCACGCTTTTATTAATTATTGTTCCTCGGGTATTAACTGTTGTGTCTCTTATTCTTTTTTCAAGTATGATGTTGAATAATATGCATGATAGAGCGTCTCCCTGGCGTAATCCCTTCTTCACATCTATTGTTTCCGTTAATTCGTTTTGTATCCGGATTTTACTTTCTACTTTTAGTGTTTCTTTTATAAATTGTATTAGCTGTGTTGGTATATTAAATTCTTTCATTGCTTTTGTTAGGAATTCTCGGTTTATATTGTCATATGCGCTTTCGAAGTCTATGAAGAGATGATGTGTGTCGATGTTATATTCACTTGTTTTTTCAAGGATTTGTCGCAGAAAAAATATCTAGTCTATTGTTGACTTCTGTCTATAGAAGCCACATTGGTATTTGCCAACTATTTTTTCAGCGGATGGTCCAAGTCTTTTATACATTACGTTGGACATTATTTTGTATGCCGCATTCAACAGCGTGATTCCACGATAGTTTTCACATTCTAACTGGTTTCCTTTTTTATGTAGTGGTACAATAATGCCGCTATTCCACTCCTTTGGTACCTGTTAATTCAACCATATCTTTTTTATCAGCTCATGTATGGCTTTAAGTAATGCGTCTCCTCCTTCTTTCAGTAGCTCCGATGATATTTGATCCGATCCCGGTGATTTATTGTTCTTTAATTTGTCCACTGCTGTTCTAATCTCTGCTATTGTTGGTGGACTCTTTTCTCTGTTGTCTGCTTGGTCTAACGGTATATCAGAGTTCATCTCCGTCCTATTCACCCCAAGCTTTTCCTTAAAATGTTCTGTCCATCTTCTAAGTATCTCTTGCTGTTCTGTCAATATATTACCCTCCTTATCTTTACACATCGTTGTTCTCGGTTTGAACTCTTTTCTGCTTTTGTTGAGTTTCTGGTAAAATTTTCTTGTCTCTGTTGGTTTACTTAGTTTTTGTAGTTCTTGAAGTTCTTTGTTGATATATTCTCTCTTCTTTCTTCGGTGAATTTTCTTTTCTTCTTTACGTAGTTGTTTATATTCTTCCTCTGCTTGTCGGGTTCTGTGCCTTAGTTGCATCTGTAGATATGCTCTGTTTTTTCTTTCTGTTATAGTTTGACATTCTTCGTCAAACCAGTGATTCGTTCTTGTTCTTCTTTACCTTCCATGCCCAACACCTCTTTAGCTGTTTCTTTTATGATTTCTCTGCACTCTTCCCACTCCTCATTTAGGTTTTCATGTTTTAGTCTGTTTTCTAGTTTGATGCTTATATTTTCTTTGTACTCTCCATTTTTGTTTGTTTCTTTGAGTCCTTCTATATTGTATCGTTCATGTTTAGAGCCTCTTTCCTTTTTGATGTTTGAAATTCTAGCCCTTATCCTACTTTCGACTAGGTAGTGATCAGAATCCGCATTTGCCCCTCTTCTGGTAAGGGCGTTTATTATATTCGATTGGTGTCTTGGGTCTACAATAACATGATCTATCATATTCACTGTAAGTCCGTCTGGTGATTTCCAGGTGCCTTTGTGTATATATTTTCGAGCGAAGTATGTGCTGGCAATCACGGAGATAAATATTTACGAATAATTACAAATCTATACTAGCGTCAAGTGGCAAAAATAAAAGTTAAACAAGATCCGTGGGATGAAATAAATATAAAAAGAGGCGTGAGACAAGGCCTAAAGAGTAAAGTGATATTATACATAATATCACTTTACTCTTTAACTTGTGTGCAGAAGAAATAGTTAAGGAAGCCCCAATGGAGACAATAGAAGGAATTATTGGTAATGGTATAACCGTAAACAATATTAGATATTAGATAATTAGATTATTAGATCTTTAGAGTGGAAGTGTGGACCCTAAGTAAGGGGATGTAAACGCTTGAAAGCCTTAGAGATGCGGTTATACAGACGACTACTACGTATAACATGAGACGACAGAGTTAGAACGCCTCAACCAAACAATACAACTGGTCAATATAATAAAGAGACGCAAGCTGAAATACTTCGATAACATTATGAGACACCCTGAAAAATATAAACTTTTACATCTAATCATTCAAGAAAAGATTCAAGGTAAACATGGTCCTTGTAGAAAAAGAACATCATAGCTGAAAAATCGAAGATAATGGTAGGAAAATCGTTTACATTATTATTTGGAACTGCTGTCAATAAAGTCAGGATACCGCATATGGTAGCCAACGGTGATAAAACTAGAAGACAAAATAAGAATAAAATAAATTAGTCAAATATCATATTAATATTATTATTGATAACAATAACGAATCAGATAATTATAATAAAATAAAGTAGTCATATATGATATTAATATTATTTGATTATTTTTTGGTATGTATGATGGAGGAGTTTTTTGACTCTAGTTTAATTTAGTGAATTTTATTATCTCTTGTTTAATAATATTTGAATTTCTCTTTTTTTTTTGGAAAAATGTCCCATTTCTGTTTTTTTTTATTCAAAGATTTAAAAATAATGGCGCTCTTTTCTTTTAAAGAGATATTCTTTTCACTATTTCCTTTTTGTTGTTTTGTATCTATTATTTCTTGTTTTTCTCTCCCCTAAGAAAGACTCAGCCGATTATCTACTAGGTCTAAATAACAGTCCCTTCGGGCCTATTATATACCAGTATTCTAAGAATAATTCTTCATAATCTAGATCGTTAGGTATGGTACATCATAAAATCTAAGATCCAAGAAAAAACTTTAAACGATCAAAGATATTTTAGTCGTTCAAAATATAAGCAGTTATTCAAAATTCCAAACGTTATAAATTAAACATAATGTATTCTAGAATAGGTAGTTTTTCTATATTAAAACTATTTTCCTTACCTCATGAACTGCATGTGTCAAAAACGGTCTGACATCATCAATGGCTAGGATGTTTATGTCGCTATACTGTGAATTTCTTAGTGTCGGTCCCAAGTAATTTTTAATCCATATTGACTGCAAAATAATTTTTGTATTTGTAGAGACAAAAGTGATCAAAAACAAAAAAAAAGTAATAGTTGAATTATTTATAAATTAGGTGACTATATGCTGACTTTTACAAAAATCCAAATAGCCAGTAAAAGTTGATCAATTTTAATAATATATACATAAAATTGTTATTCAGTAAAAAAGACCTCGCTATAAATTTAGTAATTCTTATATAAATGTTTAAAATAAAATGATTCGGGATATTAGGTTTTTTTGTTAATAAGAATTTTTTATAATTACATTTCTTTATCACATTAAAAAGTGAGCGATCGACTTATTCAAGAAAGATATAGTAGAAGTCATATAATATTAGAGTACCATTGATCTTCTAAAGCTTTCTTCTCCCAAATTGTTCAAAAACTCATATAAACAATAGCAAGAGCTATTTCCACTAAAACTATGGATTTCTTTCAATATTGCATAAATAGATCTATTTTCGTTTGTTAAAATCAAAAAATCATTTGGTTACAAATACATTAACACGTTAATGCAGCGTTTCTTAACCTGTGGGGCACCATAAGTTTATGTATTAACTAATTAACTATTTAATTATAATATACTGATGGTCAAAAAATGCAACATTCCTATACGGTTATTTATTTAGATCAAAAGTATTTCTTTTTAGCTCTTATCTACAAATATATATATATATATATATATATATATATATATATATATATATATATATATATATATATATATATATGTGATACAGTTTTTACGCCTTTTCTTTTCTTTTCCTTTCTCTTTTCCTTGTACAAGAGCGCAGAAATCGACAACTTTAAGAGTTGCAATGTGGAATGTTAAAGTTTGTGCTCTTCAGGAAAACTGGATAATGTTGAACAAGAAATCAATAGACTAAGCATCGCTGTTTTAGGAATCAGCGAAACCAAATGGCCAGGATCTGGGAAATGTTCAACACGAAATGATGGCGTATTTTATTACTCCGGAATCGACAACACCCATCGTTACGAAGTTGGAGTCATCATTTTAAAGCAATGGAAAAATTCTCTGATTACCTGTACTCCTTATTCAGAGCGCCTAATATTAATATAAATTAAAGAAAGACATACCTCAATAAATCTTATTCAAGTCTATGCACCAACAGCAGATAAAGATGATAATGAAATAGATTAATTCTACAACGATTTGGAAGAAATACTGAAAACAATAAAAAAGCAACAAATTAACATAATAATGGACGATCTTAATGCCAAGGTGGGTCAAAGTAAGGTAAGAGAACAAGTAGAAAATTATGGGCTTGGAAACAGAAATGATAGAGAAGATCGATTGATTCTATTTTGCCAAAGTGAAGACTTCTTAATAACAAATACCTTTTTCAAAAACCTCCTCAATGGTTACATACATGGACATCTTCACAACATACCAAAGAAAAAATAGTGCGAAATCAAATAGACTACATAATGATAGCAAGGAGGTATTGTAATGCCGTTAAATGTACTAAGACGTCTCCAGGAGCTGATATAGGCTCAAATCATAACCCGGTAGTTACTGTGATAGAGGCGAGACCAAACAAGATTAGAAGACCACACAGAAAGGGCACTAGATTTAAAGAGTATTTTTGAAGTGTGTATATTTTAAGCAATTTCTAGCTGAGCGCTTTCGGCTTTACAAAGCCATCATCAGAGCTATGGTCAATTTATAAATACCACTGCAATGGAGAGATCTCATTTCCTTATATTTCAAAATTATGATTTTTTAGTTCTTGAAATTCTTAAAAAACATATAAAAAACATTTAAAAACCGATACTGGACTTCACAGACACGTTAAAAAGATTGAAAAAATTTTTTTGTCATGGTACGGGTGTAAGAACCCGACCATTGATTGATGTGAGGAGGTAGACAGAATAGTTCTATTCTGTCTACCTACTGTCTACAGAATAGTTCTATTCTGTCTACCTCCTGCTCTGATGATGGCTTTGTAAAGCCGAAAGCGCTCAGCTAGGAATTGCTTAAAATATACACACTTCAAAAATGCTCTTTTACATTTTCTTTTGACTTGTCATAAGTGTGTACAAAAAATATCAGTCTTTTGATTATTCATTCAAATAATATCAAATCTGTACTGAAATCAGCGAGCTGATATAAAAATAGAAGACCAAACATCATACAGCGAACAAATATGCCAAGAAGCTCTCTCACATGCAAACAAAGGGATAATAGTCAATGGAGAAATTATCAATAACATTCGATATGCTGACGATACTGTGATAATGATGAACGTCAAAAATACTACAGATATGACCTTCAGTAAGAATCCATTACATGACACTAGTATCGCAATAAACGGTATCCAACTTGAAAAAGTAAGCTAATACAAATACTTGGGAACCCTCATCAATGAAACAGGTGACCAAAATCACGAGATAAAAAGACGTATTGAAATTGCCAGGTCTACCTTTATAAAAATAAAAACATTATTTATTATTTTGTAATCGTGATATTATTATTCATCTACGAAGTAGAATGTTAAAATGTTATGTATTCAGTACTTTGCTTTACGGTATTGAGGCATGGACTCTTAAACAGAGGAATATTAAAAATCTTGAAAGCTTTAAGATGTGGTGCTACCGCTGTATACTAAAAATATGTTGGGTGAATAAAATTACAAATAAAGAGGTAATACGCAAAATAAATAACGATACAGAAGTTATCATGAACATAAAAAAGAGAAAACTTGAATACTGAGGCCACCTGATGAGAGGACATAAGTACACATTCCTACAAAATATAATGCAGGGAAAATCCAAGGACGCAGAAATCCAGGCCGTAGAAGAATGTCCTGGATGAGAAATTTAGGAGAGTGGTTTGGCTGTTATACTAACGAATTATTCAAAACAGCAGTAAATAAAATTAAAATCGCCATAATGATATCCAATCTCCGATAGGAGAGGCACTCAAAGAAGAAGAAGACTTTTTCGTTAACTAATCTTTTTTATTTTTTTTTACAGTTATTTGTAATTTTAAGTCATTTGGATTGTTTTTGATTTACCCAAAAAATTTGGCAAATGCCAGCAGGTCGCCAACTTCGAAAAATTACGCATTGCAGGCGTAAAGGAGGCCGCTGTTGGTTTACAGGAAATTTCACGAAGAGTTACAGCTAATCGATTAACGGTTATAAGAGTTTAGAGGAAATTGTCCAATGATGAGACTTGTCGGCAATGTGGAGAGTCTGATATTGCAAGGTCATGATTTGCCCTATCTCAGACCTCTTGCTCTCAGAAATAGACGGGACAGTGTATATAAAGTAAGAGATAATTTAGTTGTAGCTACAGAAGGGGTTGTTTCAAGAAAAACAGTTAATTAAAGATTACTTGGTATGGATCTGAGAGCTTACCGTCCGCTTTTGGTGTTACCTTTGACACCACAGCATAAGGCTAGACGCTTAGAATGGTACAGAGCTCGGCACAACTGGAACTTCCAATAAAATTTTGTTGGCTTCAATGATAAATCTAGGTTTTGTCTAGGTTGGCAATAATAGACTTGGCTATGAAACGTCATACAGCAAGA